GCAAGTAAGATAAGGACATTTTGGCTCCAGATGCATTTCTTTCTGACCCTTAGACCTTCTTCATGACCAACAAAGTCAAGACAGAAGTACTGCTCTGTTTTAAGCTGCAGCCACACGAGGACGATAACGGTCGTATCCGCTACAGTTCTCTATCAGATAGATGGTTCGGCCACACGAGGCCGACAGGGAAACGCAGATAACGATAACGGGTCCCAAGGTGGGTAGGTCTGCGGACGAAACGCTGTGGGGGGCCCTGGGGGTCTATAGGCACAGCTGATGGTGATTAGATAATCATGATCAACCATGGGGGTGAGGAGGATCAATCAAGAGGCCCTCAACCAATCAAAAGAGTCAGGAGCTAGAGCAAATGAAAATGACATCAAACAAAACAAGACCACTATAAACATATTGATGGGAAATAAGAGAAAAAGCTCTACATTTTGTAACTCTAAACCCTTCAGATAAACACTGACTAACATTTTTGTGATGGATCATTTATTATGTTCCATGCCTCACTAATCAAAGACTTAAAACACTTCATTCATTATTTTAAAACGTATACCATGTTTATCATCTGTGTTTAATGTGTTAGCATGCTAACATTAGCTAATTAGCTAAGCAAATTACATTTGAAGCTCATAAGAACCTGAGTTGTATATCGTGTCAACAGTTGTAGCTTCATTTGGATTCATTTTCCGGGCAACTTAAATGTGTGTACAACATTTCTGTTCAAAGAACAAATTGTAAGAAATGTTTCTGAGATATTTCAGAAGAAGCTGCTCCATCAACAAACAGGATGGTTGTCATTGTCATCCCTAAAGATATTTCACAAGCATGGCTCGAATCCCATTACAAGTACCTAGAGTCCAAGGTAACTATAAATAACTTGTTTTGTAGAAAGGTGAAATAATAAATATAAAATAAATGTGAAAGTCCTAACATTGCATAAGCTGGAACCAAGGAGTGTTTGCTTCTGTTTGATAAATGACTTAAAAGTGTTCCAATGAATTATCTGACAGTCAGATAATCGTGTCATCACAATTTTTCTTTGTATCTACGGTAATTGTGACTCTTGCTATTTCTAGACCTCTGTGGTACTTTCTCATAGTAACTCCCCCTGAACTGACAAAACGTCCCTGAAACTCTGCTTTAAAACACTGTCAAAATTACTGCTGGTGCTATTTTGCAAAACCGCATGGAACAAACTGAATGACATCAGGATGAAGGACTGTCCCGTTAATTCATTAATCTCCGGCTAGTGTCAGATGATCTGAATAACAATAACATCCACTCTCACTCTCTCCCCAACCTAATTAATGAAAGTGTAACGTTGTGGTGTCAGGCCGCAGATATGTCGTATATTAAAGCTGACAGAGCCACAGCCTTCTCGCTGTGACCCTGAGCGGTGGCTGCATTTCAGTTCTGGTAAAGAGAAATGTCGGGAACTGGAGTCACCTTTTAAACAAAATGCACCAATGGTCCCCCAAGCTGGGAAATTGCTTTCCGTCAGAAACAAACACTCCAGTGGCGGAAATGTCCTTCAGCAAACCCTGATACACAAGCTGAACAACACTCCACTGCAGTGTTGTTCAGAGGGAAACAGGGACTGCATACAATGATTATAATCAACAGTTACAACCTCCACAACTGCCCCCTGCTACTGTTTGGATCATACGGGCTGATTCTCCTCTTGTTGTTTCCTATCTTCTTCCAACAGCACTGTTCCAGCTGTTTGTGTAACTGAACAGACTTATGTAACTGGAAAAACAGCAAGCCAATAACGAGTATAAGAAAATTGTGTTCGTTGTGCTGACACCTAACAAGCCATTGACATATAGCTGTGTTCAGTCAGTAGCTTAATCCTGTGACCTGGTTGCACCCATGATGGATGCTGTGGCCCTGTGATAAAATGGCTTGGCTGGAGTAGCTGTGCCTGTCAAAGGGTCTCTCCTTATAGCCACTGTCATGCTGCCCTCTTCTGATACCAGGTGATAGTGCATAGAGAGCCATCCTGTCAGTGTTGGCCATGGAATTAAGCATAAAGATTTGTCCGTAATAATCAACAATTATGTGCACCAAGGAAGTTATGGGTCTGTCTGCAGCGTTACAGAAAAAATGAATGCCCTGATGAAAAAGGCGAGTTACTTAGAACTTAACGTAAAACATCTTACTTAAAATGTATGTGATCTTCTGAACTCTCTTTTATCACCAATGTACAGTAAGTTTGACGCTCTGAGACCTTACACAAGGTATTTTAAAACTAACTCAAGCTAAATGTCTCCATGAACTCTGCTGTGGAAATTCCTGGTTCCTTGGAGACAAATGATAATGTTTTTCGTGACACCCCGGTCTTTCATTCAACAAAACATGGCCAATTTGCTGGTGTAATAGTCAACTGAGAAATAAAGGCACTGAATAATGCTTTCACTGCTGCAACACCCTTATATTCTTATTTCCTTTATTATAAAAAAAATACTTGTAAAGGCCATAACCAGGTCTTTAAACAACATTTCTGGTGTTTTCAAGTCTTATGCTAAAGAGTGTGATGCACTTTAATCCAGCTACTGGACATTTTGAAGAATTTGGTTGCTCAGCCATGTTTGAAGAAACACTCTCCTTAAAAGGATGTTCTGCTGCTGCCTGCATCTATACTAGTTTAATTTGATGCCATGCTGCCCTCTTCTGACTCCACGTGGTAAAGTGGTTTTCCATTGGTGCTTAATGATTTCATTCAGAAACCAGGACACTATTGTTATTTAGCTGACAACAAAGCAACTCTCATACATACACCTCAAAACAGAAAATGGGGAAATATTAGTTGAGTATCTTAAGTCCCAAATGTTGACTGCAGGGTCTGGGAATCAAACCACTGACCCTCTCATTAGTAAATCAGCAGATTATAACCCCTAAACCACAACCATAATTTTCACATTTATAGTCATTTACCTATTGACGATTCAGTTATATTCACATTATAAAAACAACCAATTAAATGTTTCTGTGGCATGAAAACCAGGTTGCTTATAGCCACAAATGACTGATTGCCAGTGAAAACAGCTAATTGACGTTGACAGCCTATTGAAGTTTAACCCTAAAAACATTTTTTAATCAAGGTAATGAACTTTCCAACCTAATGTAGTTGGAACAAAGGACCTACTGTGTCACATTTGAACCGAATAATGTTGGGTTTTTTCACTACAGAAGATATAAGTTACCCCAGTGCAGGAGTTACTCTCTGCCTAAATGGTAGCGTTTAAATCAAAATGGTATTTATTTACTAGTTAAGATATTCAAGAACTGTTTAAATTGTTGGCATGGAGATACGCCAATTTTCTCACTTCCCATTTCACAACACCTACACTGCTCTGCTTGCTTTCAATAAATGGCTAAATTCTATTAAATCTTCTCTCAGTTCAGCCTTGCTTTCTTCTTGGCCTCCATTTACACACACCTGTAACTCATTTGTGTCTCTGCCACTTAATAGACGGTGTCTGTATTTCACTCCAACACCCTGATGAAGGCTTTTATCTTTTATCTGAAGTGTGTGGCTGTCAGCCATGTAATAGGCTTTTTATTTTACACAGTCAAGACTTAAAGTGCCTGGGGTTATTTTATTCCTCAGTCACTGCTTCGCTTTAAAGCAAGACCATGCATACATCTGTTGCTGAGTTTTGTCTTAAGGGGAATCTTTGGCATTTATCAACCTGGAACCATTTCTCCCTGGATTTTGTGTCTTCATTTTGTGTCTGAGTAACTAATGTGGACAACAGTTTTTAGAACTGTTTGTTTAGTAACTTCAAGCTCCATCAATTAACATCGAATAAATTGCTTGTTTTTCCCATTTGTTTCTTAGAAGCAAAAATCTTTGAAAAATTAGTCAAAAATACAGTTAATTGCTCGACGGACATCATCACTATGACCTGACCGGGAATGACCTTTCTACAAGCAGGAAACAACAAATACGTCTCCAGGGGATATGCGATGTGCTTACTTGCTGTTTAATGTTGTTTTATGTATGTAATAAGACCAAATGCTTTGTCTTTCTCTGTTATAGTAAGACTTAATGTAGCTAACATTAGCAGATCATTTACATAGTAAAGTTAGTATAAGTTATAAGTACAGTTTTAGCCATAGGACTAAGTGAGATCTGTGTAAAACTAGTTAACTTAAGCTAACGTTAGCCACCATTGCAACTAGTTAGGCTATCACTAAAAGTCCTGAGTGTTTGGAATTGAACAACAGTATGTTTATGCCTTCTTAAATCTACTTTTAGTGTGTGGGAAGAACATTGATTCTTCTTTTAGAAAGGTCTATAGTTGCACAATCCCAAATAGTCTGTAATCATTAGATACTTATGGGCCATTTTTACAATATATTCTATGCTAAAAATGTGCCAACATTGTATTAGATATTTGGTGTATAGTCATTTTCCCTACTATAAAACCTATACAACAAAACAGATATAGTTCTATAATGTTTGTATGCAGTTTGAATAAATGACACATCTATAGTCCTCACTCTTTAAAAGCGACAGCTCCATAACATGGTAACTGATTAGAGGTTCATTTAAAACACCAATGACCTATTAGAGGTTAAACACACAGACATCCTATTTATCAAATCTGTCCCATACAACATTCACAGACTTGCATTTTGAGCACATGCAATTCCACCACGGCAGTAATAAAGTGCCACTTGTTTTTCCACTGACAGGCTCAGATTGTTGTAACAACTGTCTGGAATCATTATGAAAGGTTTTTGTGTCTAATCAAGTACCTCTCAAGGAGAATTCCTGTGAAAAACAAGCAATTTATTCGATGTTAATTGATGGAGCTTGAAGTTACTAAACAAACAGTTCCAAAAACTGTTGTCCACATTAGTTACTCAGACACAAAATGAAGACACAAAATCCAGGGAGAAATGGTTCACAGACTTGCATTTTGAGTGGTATGAACTACTTTAAAAAACACATCATGAAACACGTGAACACTGCAGAGCACTGATCTTTAAAATAGATTTTATTTAGCATTTTGTAATTCAACAGTTTACGATATACAGCTGACAGGACTAAGACATTTCAATGGATTTTGGCCCTAAAGGGTGAAGAACAGACATCGTTAGATTGACAGATATATATGATAGAGGATACCAGAAGGACTGTGTTCTCTCCACTCCTCCCATGAAACAATGTACATTGGCATAGCAACAACACAGCATTTGTCCACTGACACCAGCACAGTTTATTTCAAACAGACCACTGAAATTAAGACATTATTTACCCAACTTGGTTCTTTTTTTCAAATGATTATTCTAATTATGTTTTTTCCTGTTGCTTAGACGAAAAACGAATGACTTCTTTAAAGTGCTGAAACATAATGGTATATTTATGTGAGCAGTAGCAAGAAATTCAAGAGGTAATGTTCTGTAATTTACAGAGAACCACAGAAACAAGGTGAAGTCACAGTTCTTTAGTACAGTAGAACACTTGTGCAGTGAATTTGTGTATACAAATGGTCAAATGCTTCACGTAGTTCTTAAACATCAGTGTAAGATGACAATAGGCAATAGCATATTAGTATCTGAAGACATGAGTCAGTTATGAACTATTTTCAATTGTGTTGATCTTTTTTTTTTTAAGTTTCCTGTAGGACGTAGTTGGTCCTTCTCTTTTGGTAGCCAGATAACTGAAGGTTTACTTTACCAACAAGAGAAATAAGTCAAAATATAATAGTCACTATACCCTTGTCTGATGGCACACAATTGTCTAAAATGTCCACATAAAACAAAATGATGTCCTGATATTATAATTCAGAGCTGCACAAGAATGAAAATGTGAGTTAATGGGTCCTGATGCTAAATCAATGTTAGAGGCTGAGTAATTTTGGTGTTTTGATTTTGCTAATATTTAAAAATATTGTAACAGCTAGACAAAAAAAAGTTCAGATAAGGGCCACTGAATATTAAACAGTAATGTACGACTGTTGGCACTGCACTGTGTAAAATGTAGTTCCTGTGATATTGTTCTTTAAAAAAAAAGCATCGTCATGTAGCTGCAGCCGCCATCTACACCAGAGCTCACCTTAAAAACTAACCATTCTTTCGTAGTTCAAGTTTCGATCCAAAGATTTTGTTTGGAAATGCTTTTTTAATATTAGCTGGCTTTATCGTAACGTTTCAATTAATACTTCAAAAACAACAAAAAAAGTAGTGACATTTAACATTGGATAAACAATTATTAAAATCTGAAGATAAAATATGTAGTTTTCTTTCTCTTCTTTTAGTACAACCATTTTTTTTCTTAAAAGGTAGACTATATTATTAGCAGAATAAGACTTGGCTAGTTCTGATGGGTTAGAGGTACATCGACATCAACACTTACACTACTCCTGCTCTACATGCAGGCTCAACAGTACGAGCAGATCCACTACACACAGAGTACACAATACACCTGACATCTTCTACATTACACTACAAGAAAAATGACAAATCATAAAACAAAATTAAACATTACCCGCCCTCCCTGAACCCGCAAAAACAAACTTACCCCCCCTCGAAATAAAATCAAAGATGAACACACACATACACAGTCCGATTATATATTTTTTACATTACTGTACAAAGGGAGGAAGAGTTGTGGGGGGCAGCGGAGTAATGGTAAGGGGTATGGAGAGCGATAGCATGGAAACATGGTGGCTAAGCCTCACCTACTACAGCATGAACACGACAGGCAACTGTAAAAACAGGAAATGGTCTGCAAGCTGTCCCAATATGCACTGAGAATAATAACTTCGTATTGATCTTTTCAGCAAACAAAACCTCATCTAGAAAGTGCAGCACTCCTAAGATTGGAATTTTGACTTGGAGTAAGCAATATGTTTAAATTAGTAGGTGGTGAATGTATTGTTTGATAGAGCACCAGAATGTAAAAAAAGACAACTAACTACCAACCAAGGATACAATTCTCCATATATGGAAACAGCCATTGCACTGTATGTTTCTCTTAACAAACCTGTTAAAAACTTGTGTAGAAATGTGTGCTTTTTCAGAAGCTCACTGTGCTTATCATGATTTATTTGAACTACTGTGCTTTGCATTGCCCACCCTTCGTCACGCCCTTAATATGTAATACTTTCTGGTGTTGATTTTTAGTTCACAGTTCCACCTCTGTTGTGCGTACTACCCTAAGTGTCAGTATCACCCCATCTTGTGGATCACAGCAGGAAGTGCACTGTCATGTAAACAACACTTCTAAGTAAATCATTGTGGGGAATAGTGGTCAAAGAAAACAAAGAATGTGCGAATATAATCTGAAGTTGTGCATCATTATTTCTGAAAATTGTTGAAATTACTAATAAGCATCAACATACAGAAATTATTCATGGGAAAGATGCTTTTGTGCTTTCCTTCTTAGAATTGGAAAATAAATGAATACCTCTCTGAAATACGAAGTTGGAGCTAACATTTGCTCAGCTTGGCATAAATTCTTTAGTCGTTATGCTAAGCTAAGCTAGCCAGGTGCTGTCTGAAGCTTCATCTTTACTATAGACACATGCAAGTAGTATCTCAATCTTCTCAGCTAACTCTCAGCAATACATTTAAAAATAGTATTATACTCCTTTAAGTCTCTCTACCCATAAATATGTTGTTTACAACATACAATTTGTGTTTTATGACACACATGCCAATACTGTTATTGTAGCCCTGTAGTTCTCCAGACGTGAAGGAACATTACAGCCAGACCTGATGCAATCCAAAACAATCCTCAATGCCGGAAAGCTAAAAGACAAAGGAACGTATGATCTTCACACAGCTGTCTAGATGACAAAAAACACAACTCACGTATTTGTTCTGTATTTAGACTGCCAGAAACCTCTACGACCACACTACTACAAAACCAATCCAATTGTGCATGCTATAGAGACCCCCTCTCTGTCCCTCCACAACAAAACCACAATGAATCAAGTCACAGACGAGGAATGGTAAACACGGTTAATTATGATTCTGTAGTTTTACATGTTTTTTGTGCAAAATAAACATATGCTGTCTTTATAATTATTTACTAAGTTACTTTACAATAATGAGAGGTAAAAAGGAGATTTTTACTGAGAGAACAATACTATACAGCTACATTAAAATCTACATCATTCATTTAAGATTTTTTTCTTCTGGAAAAAAGCTACATCTCTCTCCGTCTTTTGTCTCTCAACCAGTCACAGCTTGATTCAGAGATTTAAAAGAAATACCTGTAAATACATTAAAGGTTCCACTGACTGTAAAAGACTGACACCATACCAGCATTTCTGCGATATGCAGTATATAATGTTGCCAAAAACATGTGCAGGTAACTCAGGTAATGTTTTTGGTAACATGCCTTAATGGGACAGATTGTTATGACCTATGGGAGACACAGACTACGACACACCTAGCTACGTCCTCTAGCCCGGTACCTCCTTCACATCCCAAGATGCATTTCACTCAAAAATAATGCCTGGAAGACTTAAGGAGAGATGGCTCTCCTATGAACAGAGTTGCATCTGTATGTTTCATGTGTATGTATAGGTGATTTTAGACAGCGGGGACAAGTTAAGTGGTTTCGGTCCGCATATATTTAACAGGCCACCTTAGTGGAGACAAGGTTTCCACAGGCAAGGAACAACAAGAAACCACAAAGTTTGTGTGTGTGTGTGAATGCAGAGGCAGAGAATACAGCACTGTTAACTGATATTCCTCTGCTGAGTTTACAAAGTTTAAGCAGCTTTAGTGGAAAAAGTTACAAGTGGAGGACATTTCCACAGAAAATCAGTGTAAGTCGCCATCTCAGGTGTTAAATATGTGTGCTCTGTAAGAACTTTTTGAAGAAGCAGCAGCATAAAATAACATGTTTAGTCTTAAGCTGAGATCAACTATGGTTGAGGTCACTGTGTGCTGTAAAATGTACAATAGTGTGAATGTACTGGTATGAACGAATGTATGCCCATCTTACCGCATTATCAAACTGCAAATGGCCAGTTCAGGCACGGTTCACCCTGCTTCTCTTTATTACAGCACTACTGTGTATCACATTTCAAGTCTCCAGCTGTCAAAACACTGCTGCTAGAAAGTCACCAGTTCCTAAACAGACAAGGCTAACAGAATAAAGGAGAACAGTGTGTGTCTCTATGTTGCTGCATGCACAAAACCAACAGCGTCACAATTGTACTGTACCTCTAACTCTAAATGAAGATGTACACGTTTTACAAAAAAAGTGAAAGGAACAACTAACTGCATTATTAAATTATGCGTAACAAATTAACAACCCACCCGCACACCCAATTTTTTTCCTTTCGTCTTTTTTGTTCTTCTTCGTTTCTTCTAGAGACAACACACAGATGGATAGAAGAGGTTAGGATAGATATAATAAGCCCTTACAATATGTAAAGGTCTCCAGCGAATGGGATCTCCCCCACAGAGGACTGTGGGAAAGTGGGGTGAGGATGGAGGAGAAGGAAGAGATGGTGGAGCACTGGGGGGGCGCTGCCCTGGATAGCGCTGGCAGAACGGGGGCCGTCTATGCGCTGGGGTTGGGGCTGTTGTGTGTTGTGTTGGTGGAGCCGTTGCTTCCCTGGATGGTGAGGCTGATATCATCCTTCCTCTCCGTCTCCTCCTCCTTCGCCTCTTCCTTCGGCTCCTCATTCAGCTCCTCCTTATCCTTGAGGGGGCGAGTCTCCACAGTTTCTTCGGAGGCCAGGGGGGCGTAGCGGCCTGTCCGGTGCTCCCTCAGTGCAGGGCCCCACTTTGGATGTGGCCGGCAAGAGAACTTCAACCGCTGAGATAGAAAGAGGAAGGAGTTACACATCAATCAGAGCAACTTATAACGAGGGGAAAATGTAAGAGCGAGTCAAAAAAATATCAAAAAGCTGTTTGTTGGGCTCTTAATCCAAGATGAATCAATTAAATTAAGGACTGAGCTGGAATTTCAACAAACATTTTATCAGTTTAGGCATTAATTATGAACATATGACTGAAAATTACCAAAAATGTTGAGGCACTAATTCAACAGCTTTTAATCCGATATTTCACCTAAATTGGACTCCTCTTTTATTCTTCAACTTCAGTTTTTTACAGTGCAAATACGGATAATGCTTAAGCTTTAACCAAGCAGCAATATTCTATTGGAAAAGTGAAGTCATTGCAGAAGTACCTTAAATCTGCCTTCCCTTTAATAGCCTACTCTACTGGTAACACAATTAGTCTGATTAGCATACTTCTTGATTGATATATTACCTTAGTTAATATTTTCCTGACCAGTTCAGTGTCTCAATCGATACTTACAAGTCATTTTCATGAGAGCATAAGATTTATTTTTACAATTAAGGTCCCATTTATAATATGCTTCGGGGGGTTTCTACCATTGTGCTGTCCGGTTTGGTTGTTGTTTCCGTTTTGGTCCTAGAACCATTTCATTGGATAATAATCAACTAAAATGTATGTAATGTAAAAGCAGGATTATTGGGTAACATCCTGTACCTCTCTGAAGGTGGCTCCTGGGGACCTTGAGATCTTGTAGAGGGCATAAATGGGTATGCAAAGCACCGAGGACATGGCCATGCAGAAGCCGATGTACAGAGACCAGTTGGGAAACACGTAATCATTGTAGGTGATGGGCTTGTACTGGATCACTGTGAAGATCATGATGCACTGCAGGGACAGAACAGAGACAACATGAGAAACCATTTACAGCAGGTGTCTGTATAACTAATGAAAATGATCTTCATTTAAAACACACAGTATATAAAACAAAAATCTATCTGTAACGCACAAAAAATAACAAATGGGTAAGGTAATAAAAAAATATGGTAAATCAGTAAGCGTCTCCCATCCAAGTTACAGTCCCAAACTAATGGAGGTAAAAGTTCAGTACAGGTTCAATCATTATATAATGGGGTGAAGGAAAATATTGGATTATATTATGTTGGATGTTATAGTAAATGTGATGCAATTTAATGAACTGTTGCGATTCATTAAAAACATTTTTATTGTTTTACAATTTTACACACTTGGTGGTTCGTTCTTAATACCTAGACAGTTTCCCATTGAAACAGAGTATATGGCTTTGCTAACAGTTTACAAATATATTAAACTGTAACCACTGTATCATGTTACGTATTGTATCACCAGATTTTTGCCCCGCTGTAAACAGCAGCACAGCAGCAATGTGTCTTTATTCAAAAGTTGCAGATAATTATAGTATAACTCATGACTGTTCCCAAAAGTTTAAAGTTTATTCTCTGTTCTAGCAAAGGCCCTGCAGAGCGAAGCATTAATCTGTGTAGTGAAAAGAGAGAACACAAGTGGCTGAAATACGACCAGTAATCCAAAACAATGCATTTCTTGGATAACCCAGAAGCTTAGCGCGCTAATTAGACCCTCCAGAAAAACGCGATTCTGCGATCGCAGAATTTACCGCATAATCAGCAAAATGGCGCAGATTTTCAAAAGGCCGCATATTTATCAAAAGGCCGCATAATCCCCGCATTTTTCCACACAAAGTTGAGGGGAAAAAAATTAACTCGTCTTGACATGAAGTGATGATGATGATGATGATGATGATGATGATGATGACGCGACGTCATCAGCTCGCGCATCACAGAAGGTAAACAACACCGTGTGGAACTCACACGAGAGAGAAAACACCAAGATGAAAAAATCTAATCCATCTCATTTACCGACGAACATTTCTGCTAAAGACCGGGCAAAGCAGTACCCCGATGTCTCGCACGAAAGTGGGGGGAAACTATTCTGCATCCCGTGCAACTGTGTGTTGGAGCATAAGAGAACATCGACGGTGACGACCCACTTTGATTCATTCAAATATTCGAAAATGCTTTCTGCTGCTGCGGACAAGAAAGCCAAACAACTCACGTTCACCGAGGCATCAACCTCCAAAACCCTTTCGAGGGCTACAAGAAACAAAGTGAGTAGCCTACAAGATTGAACCTGGTCAGATAACGAACAAGTAAATGAAAACAGAATGAGGCGGAGAAGTAAGTGTGTGTGTGTGTGTGTGTGTGTGTGTGTGTGTGTGTGTGTGTGTGTGTGAGAGAGAGTGTGATTAAAATAGCCCAATTGCTTTTACAATAAATAAACATTGCATGTGTTTAATTGAATAGTAAAGGGGTTTAACGTTAGTGGCAGGTTGTGTGTGAGAGAGAATAAATAAATAAGACAGCCCAATATTTATTTTTTCCGCATATTTCGCAACTTCCCGCAATTTCACCGCATAAAATCACATAAAACCCCGCATGTTTGATCACATAATCAAGGATTTTTGCCTGCGTTTTTCTGGAGGGTCTTGCTAATACGTCTGCTTGGGAAATACCATTAATAGCAGCTCCATGTGTCCATTTCCCAGTCAGAAAGATTTACTTTTAGAAGTTTTATGTCAAACCAAACAGCCAAAGCCAAACAGATTAGTGTTGACAGCTGCTCTAAATGTAGATCAGGTCCCTAACAATGTGTCAGAAACTCACACTGAACGTCCTTCACATCAAAGTCTGGTTTGATTCCTGGTATAATGTTGCATTTTTACAACAGGTATGTTTGCACGTGTGTGTGTGTGTGTGTGTGTGTGTCCACTTACAGAGATGATGACAGGGGAGATGAATCTCCAGCAGACTTTAAAGAAGAGAGGAGGAGGGAAGCCCAGCATCATCTCAACGTCTTTGAAGTATTGCTTATGGCCTGCGAATGAAACAAAAGTCATCCAGTAAGGTCAAAGTGTGATTGATCATTTTATAGATTGCGGTTATTCGTTTTTTGACAATGTTGCCACGCTATGAAGACAAAATAAATCATTTACTTGGAGCTTAACAGTTTGCACACCTTTGTTTGCACACAAGTTTTTTCCCTGGATGTGCGCACACTTCTATTTATGGAATCATTTTGACAGAGATAGGATAATTCCACCACCAAACCAGAAATAACACCCAAATTGCAAAGCACATAGTCAATATTTTTCTTAAAGAACAGTTTTTGTGTCACAGAGTTTCTTTGAAGTATATAGTACAAAAAAAAGTATTCCTCCTCACCGTAAACATACATGACGCAGACGCACATGATGCAGGAGATGATGACAAGAGAGAAACTAGCAGCGTAGTTGTCCATCAGTAGCAACCAATAGATTCCTGCCTGTACACAGAAAAAAAAGAGATTGAATGAAGACCCCATGAGAGAAAACATGTTGCGATTAAAGAGCGTGTTTGGAACGTACCCGTGTTGTGAGTGGCACTCCAAGTAAGAATCCAATGACGGCCACCGACAGTGTGACGACAGTCTTGTTCCTGATGATCCAGTCTGTTCCGATCTCATCGACGACGGCCGTCACCAGAGTCTCCAACAGACAGAACTGCAAGACAAGGGACGAAGAGTACATTTAATTTAAACATTTGAGAAACAAGTACGTTTTCTTACTTGATTAGGTTACCAAAAATCTTTATAGATCACTTGAGACGGTTTTTCCACGTTTAACAGTTACTAAATCATTTAGTGTGAAAAGGTCGGAATGTTATGAGAGAAAAAGTTCATGTTTAGCATGACATTTCTCCCATATTTAACATTTCTATAAACATGTTCAATGAAGTGCTTTACTTAATTATTACCTGTGAGCTGTGTCAAAGAGGTTCATCTACAATATAAGGTAATTTAGGAAAAATATATCATCATTTTTTTAAATAGGGTTGTATGAGGTACAGGTACCTACAGGAGATTGTAGTTGGAAAAAGATAAATGTTAATGCTTTAGTGGAACATTTGACTAATTCTCCATCAGGGATTGGTTGGTTTTTAAGGCGATTTGAATCTAATTTAGTTTAATTTACATTGGGCTATTCAAACATTTTCACATATCACCTAACGCTAGTATGCTACCAGTTTCACAAATATGACTGAAGAGCTGGAGAGATGAATAGGCTGCAACCACTACGGGGCCCCATGGCAACGCTAGGCTCATTAGCTGCTTAGTATTGTCCGGGATGCCAGTCATCAGAGGTTTGGTTGAAGTTTTTTTTGCTTTGGAAGATTTTTAGTAAAATGACCCAAAGTACCTAAGTGGCCGCTATGATTAGAGCCGTTCAAAATCTCTAGATGATAGGAAAGGAGCTTTAATGCTTCCCTTTATAAAAGGTGAGGAGATAATGTTGTCCCATTTGACATCTAAAGTGCTTATATGTCTAAAACTTTATAACAATATGTTAAACCAAAAGGCAAACTATTAATGGAACTCCACTTACTGTTGAAATTGTAAAAAAGTTATCCAATCACGTCAACATTTCAGCATTGTTTGTTGCCTTTTTCTCTTAAAATCATATGGGAAACACTGATGTACTGAACAGTTCTCGAGCCTCACCTGAGTCCCCAGTCCCAGAAGGATGAGCATGAAAAAGAAGAGCAGTGACCAGAGAGGGGAGATGGGGAGCAGAGTGAGGGCTTCTGGGTAGGCAACAAAGGCCAGGCCCGGGCCGTGGTCTGCCACCTCGGACACAGGGACGTTCAGGTTGTGTGCCATGAAGCCCAGGATGGAGAAAATGACAAAGCCGGCATACACGCTGGTCGCACAGTTAGTAATGCTGATGATGATGCTGTCTCTGTATGGAGAATATAGAAGAAGAAACATGTTTGGGTTTAATTTAACTGCTGGATACCAGAATTGCATAAATTAGCAACTTTGACAGCTGTATATCCAGCATTGTTGAAATGTAAACTTTACTTGTTCAGGAAGATGAATGAAAAAAGGGGAAAATCGCTAAAAATGCACCAATTACATTATTACATTACATTACATGTCATTTGTTAGACGCTTTTATCCAAAGCGACTTGCACACATTCGGTACTGTGGACAATCCCCACAGGAGCAATTTGGGGTGAAGTGTCTTGCCCAGGGACACAACGACATGCTGACTGCAGTGGGACTCGAACTTGCTACCCCCTGATTCGAAGTCTGATTCGAAGTCCAGCACGCTATCCACTGAGCCACAGCCGCCCCACATTTTTTATTTAAATTAAATATGAATACCAACAATGAACAGAACCCTATTGTCCTGTCATGAAGGTGAATGCATGCAACCTTTCAAATGAATCTATGTATTTATTTAAAAAAATGTGTTTTCTACAGCGACCTACAAATAAGGTACAATCCAAAGAAGAAGAAAAAGCTTTCGAGAATAAGTGCGGTTCTATTTTACACCTGACACAAGTGCAAAAAGCTTTTTTATTCTCAAGGTGAAGGCTGACCCAGCAGCACCTTGTAAATCCATCAAATGTTCTTTAAAATGTGGACAAAACTATTTAAGGTTGGCAAAGTGCACAGGAGTGACAGAGAAAATGGCACATAACCATTGCAAGTAGGGGGGAAAAATTGCTCTCTGAAGTGCACGGGAATATGTAATAAAATAAGAAGAGAACATGCTGTAGGTACGTTGGTCCATGTTTTAATTTGTATTGTGATTAAATGAATAGCAAAGCAGAAAAAAGCCAAGTTTTATTAAAGATGTCTTAATATCAAGATCATTTTGATTCAAATGAGGACACAATTGTGTCAAAATCAGGGCTGTTGACATGGTGATTTTGACCCCAACTTCCTCTGTAATTCCAGCGCAGAATTTCCCCATAAATGGAATGGCAGTGAAATTGCATAGAGATCAGACACATTGCGACAAGCTACATGTAGTACACTTATGCCCCTTTCACACCAGCGCTTTTTCAGCTCCGGCTCGGAGCTGGAGCTGAAAAGCGCCGGTTTTTCCTGTTCACACCGCAGCGGCGCCGGCTCTTAGCTCCGGAATCGGGTTCACTTCCAGCTCTAAAAAATTGTCGGTCTAGGCAAGAGCTTCGGAGCTAAGAGGTGGCGTCGCTTACGTCTCTCTTACGTCGAGGCGTGCAGGAAACTAAACCCACCTCCCCTGAACATGGGTCGACTGTCATGCCGGCCTACAAGCAGTAGTGCTTATAAACACACTTTATAAAGTCAGGCAACACTAACCAGGCTTCGTGTGATTCTGTTTATTTGTACCTTACTTTGACCATCCGTTCATTGTTATTGATCATTGTGGAGAGAGGCAGACGTGTTGTTTTGTATTATAGCAGCTATCGGATGGAATCAATACATGGGCTGCACAGGTTGTCGTGTCCGACTATCACAAGTAGAATCATTATAAAAATACGCCGGTAAAATGTGCCTGTAGAAAACGGTTTATGCCACAATAGGATAGCAATAGCAAGTAGTCAGTTTAGCTTCGGTTGCTATGCTAACATCACCCATTTTATACCAAAGAAACTTTCATAACAGCGTTGTGATGCCAAACAGCGTCAATTCAGACTGACACACATTCACTTAGGCTAAGGGGAACTGGGGATATGTATCAGCTGCTTGTGTGAGTCGGACAGTGAATATTTAGAGCGGCCGCAGCAGTGTGAGCTAACCGGGAGCTAACGGAGGAGAATAAACTCCCGTGGAAGAGCAGCCAACACTGCAGCGGTCGGTAAATGCTGCAGAAACACATTAATAAACAATGAACCACGGCACTCTGGAGCAAAGTATAAGGTTGGAGAAGTCGTTATTCAATTTATTCTGGCTTCGTGTGATTAAAAGCAACACGATCATCGACCCGACGCAGTTCCCCGTTGTTGTTGTTGTTGTGAGCGCCGTAATGGCGTTGGGGAGCAAATCAGCGATGTAAACGGTGACGTCATGACGCAGCAGCGGCAGCACCAGTCGGGTGCTGGGCGGTGTGAACAGAGCGGGAGCAGAAAAGGGAAACCGGAGCTGAACCAGAAAAGCTCTAGCTCGGAGCTAGAAAGGGAAAAGCGCTGGTGTGAAAGCCGCATTATAGAGTGTCCTAAAACCCGGAAGTAAGTTAGCATTTTACCACTTCCGGTTCCTTCGCCAAAAAGCAATGCAATTTCTCCATAGGATTTTGGAAAATATCTGGAAATAAGGTCTGTGTTTGACACACATTGAAGAGATAGATCACGTTTTGTTCTACGACATTAAATACATCAGCAGTGACCCCGCTGGTGATTTTTGAAGAGTTTGCGTGTCTGAAAAACGATGGTTGTTAACAAGTGGCTGAATAGGACTACAGAAGTTGTCCAGGCCGTTTTACGTCATTACACCGAACACGTAAAACACTCCCGCTAAGTTTGTTTTCACCCGTGTTCTGCTTGAAAGCAAGTACCTGGAAGGAGTTTACTTCCGGGTTTTAGGACACGTCACGTGGCACTCTATTGTAGACTACTGTAAATCAGTTAGAACCATCACTATCTCAGTGTAATGGCACATTACACTCAGGAAATATAAAACGGAGGAAAGACATTTTGCTGACGTATGCGCCAGTTTTTTCAACTGATACAGATAGTTCTCACTATATGGAAGGAACACCAAGAATTATTTCATACGAGCATATGCCCTGTGTAGCGCACATTATACAGAGGGTGATCACACTGTGACAGCAGCTTTGTCAAAAATAGTTAGACATATTTTTCGTACCATTTTGTCATGCAGTTATTTTTAGCAACACCACATGTGTATTTGTTTATCTTCCAAATGCATTTATCGTCTGTTCACTCAGAGTGTGCTCCGGTCCCTTTCTTCCCTTGAACACTACTCACTCTCACAACAAGGTCATTTTGTGATTGCAGTGTTTTGTTTCCGCACATCTCCTGTTGGAGTTGGAGCTGGAGCTGATTAGGAGGCCGTGCAGCTGTGAGCGCAGATAGAGCAACCTCCAGCTCCTGGCAGAGGAACAAATTATATCTTCAGTCTTTCTTTCCTCGCCGCCTCCATCCCCCTGATGCCCTCACTCTGTCAGCACGTGTTCTCAGGACATATTGACATATTTTCCTCTCCTTATCGCCTCCTTTCCTTCGTCTTAACCTTCTCCGTGGCCGCGCTCCCTCAGTGTTCAAGCACAGTGCAACCAGCCTCTTCACACATGTCCAAAATAAAAACACTATGTCTGTCCCTCCTGCTGGCCTACCTTATCTAACCTTCTCTCTTTAGACCTGTGGTCTTCAAGTCGGCTCCTCACTATTTAACCCTCGCCGTCCTCTCACTTTGTCCATCGCTCTTCTCTGACGCCACCTCATCTTCTCACTTCCTTTGCTCTGATTTGTGCAAATAATAAGTTACTGGTCTGTGTTGCTAAACAAATTGAGCAGCTCAGCCTTATGCATATTGAGTCATATTTTCACGCAGACGCTTACACTGAAACTGCTTCTTTAGGCACATGCCGTAGAAGCCTCATATTTTTGGACAGCTTTGGAGATGCATTAATTCAAACATGGGTGGTCATTAGGTTGTCTTTGTGTCTGACAAGGACACATTTTTTGAAATTCATAGATAGTTGCTTGGCAACAGCATTGGTTTGTTCACAATTTGAAGCCCTTTTCACCATTAACAGAACTCGAAACATTACTAGGCTTTTTGTATCGGTTTTCCCCTCAATTGAGTGTCAGCTGACCTCTTATGGGGAGACAGAGGTAAATATAGTAAACAAATAATGTATTCAACTAATGGATTATGTTCATTAATTACATTTAAACTATTATTTTTATTTAAATTATTATTTGTATAACAATTTGGTGAAATTGTATGTTGAAATATGCAAATTAGCCTTAGGAAAGGTCTAATTTGCAAATGTTTTGATGAGACAAAGGTTTCAAATTCTTGTTTCGTTTTGATGACAGTTAGTCAAAGGTTTTTACAGAAGGAACTATATTTGAATCACTTCATAAATGAGAAAATACTATGAACAGACACAAAAAAAACATTTTAGCTATGTTTTTAGGATTAAATGTGATATAAATCAGACAATTAAAGATATATTAACAATGCACTAACTGTTTGCACAATAAAAAAACCTCTTATAATATAAATAGGAATATAACTGGAATCTGTGATGCATGTACTGTAAGTGGAGTATTCTGGCTCAGAGGATGAGAAAAAAAAGCCTTTAAAGATAATTAGTGTACACCTCTACAGTTTTCAGGGCAATAGGCTGAGACAAATGTACTTCTGCATATCACCATGCTAACTTCCCCAGTTGATTACTTACATTAAGATACATATTTGTTGTTTGACATGAGTTCTAGAAGTAGGCAAATTAGGCATTATCCAGTACTACATTTGGTAAAAATGTTTAGGTTCAAACCAGTGCTCAAAAAATGAAAAATCTTTTTGGTGCAATGTCTTGCCTTAAAGGAAAAGTTCACGTGTTCTGAATTTGTTTTACTTATTCTCAAAAAGAAAGTTAAAGGGGCCCTTTATTTTCAAATGTGTTGTTTGTTCACAGCATGTTTACATGCTGTCCAGCTCCAATCGATACGTCTCACGAAGGGGGGAGTGTGGGTGAGTGAGACTCCCTCTACAGAGAACTTTGGGATGTTAGCCTTTGCAGACCTTTTACATACACAACACATTTAACACACTATAGGAAAGGGAGGACCCATAAAGCATAATTGGTTATTTTCAAAAGTTGTATTTGTACCCCAAATTTGAACAACTCCTTTAACACAGTCAGCTTTAGTTGAGTCTGGAGTACCAACCTGAAGCAGTTGTTGTGGAACTTGTTATAGGAAGCCATGGTAATGAGACCGCCCCATGCACAGCCCAGAGAGTAGAAGATCTGTGAGGCCGCATCTCCCCACACCTACACAGCCAAAAACACAGTCAGAAGCAATAGAAAAAAGTTACATACAATCCATTCCTATCTGCAATTTCCTCTTCCCTGTCTGTTGATGTGTTTGAGTCCATACCTTTGCATCAAGGACCTTATGCCACTGTGGAGTCAGGTAGTACTTGATGCCGTTGACGGCTCCCTCCAAGGTGATGCCACGGATGAACAGGATGGTTAAAACAACGTAGGGGAATGTGGCTGTGAAGTACACCACCTTCACAAACACAAAAGTACAATTATTTATTAATAACAAATTAAATATAATTTCTTCATCACTTAAATGTTGCAGCTGGTAAAGTTGGAACTCATTGCAATTTCTTTATTTACTGTAAGGTAGTTAAAGCTTTAGTTAGGCATTATCATTTAAATGAATATGTTGTATCAATATTATGAATCTGCAAAGCTGTCAGATAAACATATTTTAGAGAAAAAGCAGATTTCTCGAGTAGAAGCTTATAGGAGCATGAAGGACCTCATATTTGTGCTCAACTTTGGTACTTGAGTAAATACACTTGGTTGCTTTCCACAACCGACTGCCTTAAGCTTTAATGTCAATGAATGTGTGTGTGTGACGTGTGAGTGTGTGAGAGAGAGAGAGACAGTGAGGCTGACCTTTCCAGAGGATTTGACGCCCCTGATGAGACAGAGAAAGACGACAAACCAGGACAAAGCCAGACAGCCGAGAAGAGGGAGACGAACCTCTCCAAAGTTCCCAATACCATCAGAAATGTTCAACACATAGTGCCTGAGAAAGAGAGAGAGGGAGAGAGAGAGGGAAGGAACGTTTCAGTTCATCTGGTGACAATATTTAGACCATTTGGGTTGTCTCATTCATATGAAAGTTGCCCAGTGACGCATGAAGCCACAATGGCCTGACTCTCGAGAACAATAATGCCAAGATCCCTGGTGTCTTGGGTACACAGAGCATGCACTCTTGCAGCCTGTTCCCAATGTTAGTCATTGGAATAAAGTATTTTGGGGCCCAGTGACGTAACTCGACTGACACAGAGGTTGTAGTATTATCATTCGGCAACTACGAACCATTGCTTCAATGCCAGGCTTACTTCATGGGGACTTGACTCCACCCCTTTTAATCTTCAGCTGCAACTACGGTTTATAAACTTAAATAGCAGGTGCACTTTGAAACCTCTTCATTGACTATACACATATCCTATCAATGATACTGATATTAAAATGGAGTGTCCAATATACTGAACAAAGGTAAATCTCCTTCATGTCCCACACTGCTCAGAAGCTGCAACATTTCAACTTAAATCTAGTACAAATATTTAAATGCTTGCCAGTAAAACAAGCCCTATTTTCGGCAAGCTTATAGGAGCTAGGGATAACTCACTTGATTACCTTGGAAAAATTCAAAAAACGAAAAGGAGAATTGCGTTGTTTTAGCAGCCGTTGAACCTACATAAATACGAGCTCCTGTGATCTTTGCACAAAATGTGCCTCTTTCTATGCAAATGAGCCTCATTGCAAAAACTGTCAAGAGTCTAGAGGTAACTGCCTCACATTATTATAAAGAGGCTCCTCTTCATTTGTTTATATGGGATGCATTGATTGGATGCAATGACACTTCATTACATAATAATATTAAAGCACCTCTATATGTCAGATTTAACACTTCATGAGGGAAAAAAGGTGAAACACATAAATGATTAACAATTGTTCCTTGTATCCCAATCCTTTGCTTACATTTCTCCCTACTCTTTCATCCTCCTGTCATTGTGGAGATTTGGATGGACGTAAAAAAACCTGCAAAACTCTCCGATGGGTTAGGCATGTGATAACATTTGCGCAATAACTTTTGAGAATCAGCACCTGAGAAAAGGTCAGCTATATCAGTTGAAAATTATGTGCAGATCATGGTGCTATTATCAAGCACCCTATCGGTATCGTGCCGATCCTTGCTTGACTATACTGTATCTATGATGCGGATACTCCTTTACCATATTCCTGCACCTTGGAGTTTGACGAATATAATCAGAAATGGTAATGCTGAAGGACTTTGGTTTTTACTTGTCATACTACTGATGTAAGGCAAGGCAAGTTTATTTATATAGCACTTTTCAACACAAGGCAATTCAAAGTGCTTTACAAAAAATGAAAGACATTAAGAAAATGGCATCTAAAATCAGTCATTAAAAAGAAAAGCTAATAAAATAAACATTAAAAGAAAAAATACATGGATAAAAGTTACAGTGTAGTCTAAGATATGAATGGTTCAATCAAACATTAATTAAAGTCTGATGTATCAGACTTACTTCCAGTATTCCTCACTGGGGCTGGTCCTCTTGGTGCGGTTGACTACCTCAGTCACCCCTTCCACCAGGCTGGTGCTAACGTTAGCCAGCCTGGTGGTGAAGTTGCTGCTAAACACGCCACTGCAGTCCGGTGTGTTCCAGGGATTGTTACAGTAGGTCCATGGCAACAAGTGTGTCATTGACTGGAAAAAGTAGTAGAAGGATATACAAATGACCACGTTGTAATAGATCCCAATGTAGGTGGAAACCACCATCATGCCATAGCCCACACCTGAAGGGTAAAGAAGACACAATGGGAAAACGTTAGAATGAAAATGTGAAGCAAATGCAAAGGCTGCATCCTTAAAAAGGAAATAAATAAATGTTATTTGTAAAATGAAATCAAACAACTTTAGTGAAACCTTGTACGTCTTCATATTGTATTCAAGTGTCTCAAAATGTCTAACTGGTTAATCCTCACTTTCCTGCTATAACACATAATGTGTTTGTAGGGGCATCCACAAACTGTGGGTGTTTCTCAATCGCGAGTAAAGCTGCTCCAGAGCCACTATTTCAAGCATACTAAGTCATCGAGTGCCGCCGAAGTACTGTTCCAATGTCCAGCATACTTGGAATTCTACCGAGTCCGGTGTACTTCGTTTGGAGACATTTCGAGGCTGCACATGTGTAGACTCCGCGGTCTTAAAATCCCCACAATGCTTTGCGCACGGACCAATTTCCCCAAATCTTTGGCGGAAAATGTAAGGCTCATATGACGCACACCTGCACACTTGCTCGCCTGTTCCACTCTTCCTTTTCCGAATGCCAGGAAGTATTCTTGCCTCGCTTCTGAAGCAAGACGTTCGGAAGACATGTGCTACCAAGCAAGCGTACTCGAGATTGAGAAACACCCTATGTTTTGTTACGTTTTTGTTCACTTCAAGCTGATACATTTGTATATAAAAGTGAATTGACCTCACATTACACTCACTGGATCTTTACATAACATCACATTCTTAACCATGGGTGAATGCAAAGATTGCCAACACCATGTGCTGAAATATATCTATCTTAAGATCAATATCATAAGACCTATTGACCCACATTACATTGATAAAATACAATTACAAATGTTCAGATGCTCTCACCACATGCCCATCTTATTACTTGAATTGTTGGCTGCCCTGAATATGACACCAAACATACATATTAATGTTTAAAGCACAGAATGATTACCTCTTACTGTGTATTGCTTAGGGTTAGGGTTGTTAGGGTTATATATCAAAACATATTATGATGTTTCATGTTTTAGATTGAGTCAGACCTTACAAATAGCAGGTTTATGTTATTATTTCTTTACCTCCACAAGTTTGATGGTAAGAAGAATACTCTTTATTATAAGCTCGAGGACAACTTGATGCCCAGGAAGTGACCTGGCCCCTGCCTGTACCAGTCCAAACTTTTTACTTTTGGTCTGATCAACACTTGAACTGGCGACCCTTCAGTTCACAAGCCCAGTCCCTACAGACTGAGCTACTGCATCCAATGCTGCCCCCTAGTTTCACAACAGAACACTGCAGGATACATTTTAAGGAACCCAGCTATGACACATTGCAGTCAAGTGCGCTGTGCAAAGTGCTAAAGGCAATTTTTGGTCATTTCACAGCCGGGCTCACTTGGCTATGAGGTAGGATCAGTAATAAATCTTTGATGAATTTATTTGCGAAGAGATAACTTGTAAGTGTTTCACAAATGTTGCTCAAACTGTGAAGTGTTTACAATGTTTAACGGTTTAGAATAATTAATAGAAACCACACAATTAACATGCACATAAGCACAGGGGGTTGGTTGTGTGTTCATTTACAACACTCTGATGCTGCAGGGTTAGGGTTATGTCACCCAGAGCCTGATAAATATGGATCGACTTCAAATCCCCAAAAACAATTGTTCATCTTTTCCACCCTCTTAGAACCCCCCAAAGCCCCTCCTCCCTTCTGTCAAGTGACTTTGTTAACCACTTTGAAAAAAAGGTTGATGATATTCGCTCTTCTTTTTCTGACTCACCTTTACTCACCGCTGGGTCACCAGACCCTCCTTTCACCAACACACTAACCTCTTTTCCCCCTCTCTCTCCAAGTGAGGTTCTTACCCTCATTACCTCTGCCTCTCCTACCACCTGTTCTCTGGACCCTATCCCCTCAAACCTCCTTCAGACTATCGCTCCTGATATTCTACCGTTTCTCACCCATTTCATCAACACTTCTCTAACTTCTGGTCACTTTCCAAACAGTCTCAAGGAGGCAAGAGTAAACCATCTCCTAAATAAACCCACTCTCAACCCGTCTGATGTTATAAACTACAGGCCTGTCTCTCTCCTCCCATTCCTGTCTAAAACACTTGAACGTGCTGTCTTTAAACAACTCTCCTGTTATCTCCATCAGAACAACCTTCTGGATCCGCACCAGTCTGGTTTCAAGGCAGGTCACTCCACAGAAACTGCCCTCCTTGCTGTCTCTGAGGAACTGAACACTGCTAAAGCAGCCTCCCTCTCCTCTGTCATCATCCTTTTGGACCTGTCTGCTGCATTCGACACGGTGAACCATCAGATCCTCCTTCGCACTCTCCAAGAATTTGGAGTTTCAGGCTCTGCACTTTCCCTCCTCACCTCATACCTCAAAGACCGTTCCTACAGGGTAATGTTGGAGAGGGTCCGAGTCCGACCCTTGTCAATTAACTACAGGGGTCCCTCAGGGCTCTGTTCTTGGTCCCCTCCTCTTCTCCTTGTACACAAACTCGCTCGGATCGGTCATTAGCCCGCATGGTGTTTCATACCACTGCTACGCTGACGACACCCAATTAATTATGTCCTTTCCCCGCTCAGAGACCCAGGTCGTTGCACGCATCTCTGCTTATCTAGCTGACATCTCTCAGTGGATGTCTGCTCACTACCTCAAGCTCAACCTTGACAAGACTGAGCTGCTCTTCCTCCCGGGAAAAGATTGTCCCACTCTTGACCTGACAATCAACATTGGCACCTAAATTGTTTCCCCGACTCAGACTGCAAGGAATCTGGGTGTGACCCTAGATAACAACCTGTCCTTCACTGCAAATCACTGCTACAACCCGCTGCTGCAGATACATCAGGAGGATACGTCCCCTCCTGACCCAGAAAGCGACTCAGGTTCTGGTCCAGGCTCTCGTCATCTCACGCTTGGACTACTGCAACTCACTCCTGGCTGGTCTACCTGCATGTGCCATCCGACCTCTGCAGCTCATCCAGAATGCAGCGGCTCGTCTGGTCTTCAACCTTCCTAAATGTTCCCACACCACGCCGCTCCTCCGCTCCCTTCACTGGCTTCCGATAACTGCTAGAATCCATTTCAAGACAATGGTACTTGCGTACCATGCTGCGAATGGATCTGGCCCTTCCTACATCCAGGACATGGTTAAACCGTACACCCCAGCACGTGCACTCTGCTCTGCATCAGCCAAACGGCTCGCTGCACCCGCACTGCGAGGGGGACCCAAGTTCCCATCAGCAACAACACGTGGGTTTGCTATCCTGGCTCCAAAATGGTGGAATGAGCTCCCCATTGAAATCAGGACAACAGAAAGCTTGCACATCTTCCGGCGCAGACTGAAAACTCATCTCTTTCTACTCCACTTCGAGCAATATAATTACTAACAAAGCACTTATATACTAATAAAGGACTGGCTTATCTAAAGCCAGTTGAGTAGCACTTGAAATGTTTTTGCTCTATGAAACCTGATGTACTTATATGATTCTGTTTTCTCCAAGTTTGTATCTTGTTGGTCGAATGCACTTATTGTAAGTCGCTTTGGATAAAAGCGTCAGCTAAATGCAACGTAATAAAAATAAAATTGACAGCGCTGTCAAACCCCACAAAAAACACACAATCCCAAATGTTTAATGGGAGTTCAAACCCGTTGACACTTACCTTTGAACACAGGGCTGATCTTCCATACTCCCAGACACCCCTGGCTGGCAAACTGACCAAAGGACAGCTCCAGGAAGAAGAGAGGGATTCCACAGAACACCAGCATGATTAAGTAGGGTAACATGAAGGCACCTGCAGGAGAGAGGCACTCAATCACTGCCTTTGTCTATGATCTATGGGGACTGGAAGTTGTATTTAAAATAGACAGTAAACAATGTTATGTTTAATTGTGTACGTTTTAGTGCTTTATTACTGGTGTGTGAGCACCTTAAAATGTATTTTCTGCTGATGGATAGTAATCCAACACACCAAGTAAACGTTCTTTCAAGCATTTTTGTGTGATTTGTTGGAAAATCATAAAAAACATTGTAATATTACATTTTCATTCTTAAGCTAATGTATAACTGCATAGTACCCTCAGTACTCAAAATATAAGGTGAAGAAAAATGGCCACCATAATTTCCACCTCGGCAACCAAAAGTTGATGCCTAGTTTCCTGGCAACTTTTAATAGTTAGTGTTGAGCACTTTTGTGTAATGTCATCTAAAGACACAAATTGAAGGAAATTAATAAAAGAAAGAATGGAACATAAAAAATCAAACAAAAACCTCATCTGTCATGGCAACCTCCCCTGGGTAAGTGGAGAGGTCACTGCGCGAGTGTGTTCAGTGGTGCAGCAACTCTCTAGTGTTTCAGACTGGACCAGAAACCAGACAATCATCCAAAGGGAACGTCTGTGCGTCAGGACAGTCATCTGTTTTTTGAGAGTGTGTGTGGTTTTGTATATATGCTCTTTTGCGATTTGGGTAGGTGCAACCAGCTGATACCAAAACTTCCTCTGTGTGTGTAACCTGCAGGTAGAAGCTGATGTGAGACCTACATATTGCCTAGTCCTTGCACATGAATTTAGGTATTTTACAAGCATTAAAATATTTGAAGCACGGAGTCATCGACTTAGAGTACCTCGACTAAATTCACAACTTTTCAGTATAGTTTAGTATTTCTCTAGGAGCCATGGAAAAAAATGTCATGATGATCCAGGCCAAAGTAATTGCGATTCACCATATTATCAGATACCATCAAAAATATGCTTAAAGCTCTTAAAATGGCGCCAAAACATACTGGAATAACTTAACGTAGCATATTGCTAAGATACAAATACTGTTGTGCTTTAATAAATTGTTTGTAAAAATCAAGAATCAGGTTTATTGCCCTACATACAAGAAATGTGCTTTGGTGTATACCTAATCACAAAAAGAGGAATTACATTTAGAATAAAATAAGAGCAAATAAAGAATTTTGTAAAACAATAAAATGTTCTAGAAGAATATGTACAGTATACCTACTGTATAACACATCATAAGACTCCACTGTATTGAAAAGGATAAACTGATTTTCTTAAGGGCAACATTGAATTGGTTTGCTCTTTCTACATTATTATTCCTTTTATTTTAAATCAGGCTATAATGTTCACTTATCTGCCAGGAAAGTGTGCAACACAGCATTTTCAAGTAAAAGGATATTCCCAGCTATCCCGATAATGTCAATTTACAATAATTTCTTGTTTTGTTTTATTACGATCCATGATCCTATATCAAGCTTTCCTTATTTTCAAGAAATATTAAGTACACATTTGTATCTATTTAATTTAATAAAGACTCTTTTAGATGCATTTAACTTGATGGCAGAAAGACTTTAAGGGCTTGAATACAGTTAGTTTTAATCAGGGTCTTGTGCTTTGAATACAATGGCTGCATGGCAGATAAAGCACGTCAGCGGAAGCAGCTGGATCCACTCGGTGCACTCAGACACATTTTGACAGCATTCACAGCCCAATTAACAATAATGTAGTGACGCAAATCTAGACCCGATACTTAAAAAGACACGTTGTATTGAGGTTATGTGCATAAAGTGCGAGAGCAACATGGCTGGTTCAATCAGACAGACGTGATGTAGTTAGCTGTGAAAGTAAAAAAGGTGCACTGATATGGAATACAGTTGATACAGGTGATCTGTTAAGTGATGTGAAATGGGTCAATTAGGTTTTATAATCACATTCCCCACACAAGTCTATAAATATAGCTAACACTGAACACCCATGGATTTCTTTTGCTTCAATGTATGAAAACCAGAATGAATTGATTCCCCTTTTAATCTGTTTAGTTTGGAGGTTACATTACAGCTGCTTTGACTTCCTGAATCGTTTTTAAAAGCCCACAGATGTTTATTAGGAACAATTTTAGAAAGTCTTTACTATCAGATACATTCCTTAATGGTTAAAAGGAGTAAACTGATTTAATAAATGACTAGTTTGAACACAGTTAGTTGTAAATAATCTAACACATTTCACACTAATTTAGCTGGTGAATTAGCATAGTAGCTATCCACTCTTTCCTTTATGTTCAACCTATGCACTTTCTAGGCTTGTTTTGAAAAACTTGGTTTTGTGAGAGCTGTTAAGAGAACCATTTGCACCAGTGAACACAAACATGACTTTTGTTTCAGTCAGGTTAATAAAGAAAGCTTCTAAAATATAGCTTTACGGAGCTAAACATTCCTTACTTACAGATAGTCTACAGGTTTCAAATGTGTAATTGCTACGGGAGTTAATATTTCGGTAGCTCACGATTCAATATCAATTATTGATTCCATACCCAGGGGTGATAATTTCAGGACATCCTCAGAGGTAGTGTGGCAAATAACACTATGAGAATATGCGTGTTATAAATATAAGAATTATGAGGTTTTAAAGTGACAAACAACGTTTTTACATTTGGAAAAAATAACCGCAACTATGTAAAGACACAGGGAAAAAAAGGTAACTTTTATTCACGCTAAACTTGCTCAATTGAAAAACATTTTTGGGAAAAATATTAAAGTGCTTTTCTTGGACTTTATGTTCAAGCTATACAAACAATAACAAGGTTACCTGCATACATTAAACTGAAAGGCTAGCTGCCTTTTTATGCCTCGAAATGTATGCCACTGAATTTTCACAAAATAACACTGTAAAACTGTTATTTTATTTATAAGCTAATCAAAACGAATGCTTTGTAAATGTTACTTGGAATGTAGTATTATGACTGAGGTTCTTTTGTGGAAAAAAATATGTTTCACCCACTTCATCTGTACACCTCTCCAAGTATGTCATAGGTTGGTCAGCATTTTAAAAGTCAACTCAATGAAAGACATACCTCCTCCATTTCTGTAGCAGAGGTAGGGAAATCTCCAGACGTTGCCCAGGCCCACCGCGTAGCCCACGCTGGTGAGGACAAACTCAATCTGGTTCCCCCAGTTCCCTCTCCGGGAGTTTTCATCCTTCTTCACCGGCTCACCTGGAACTGCTCCATTCTACAACAAACAGAGGGACAACATATGTTAAAAGCACTTTCTTTACAATCAATCCCATGTGTCTGAAATGCCACATTTGTGGAAGCACATTCATTCATGCGACGATGGAGAATAATTAACATCTTAAGGTTGCATGTGGAGTCGAATTATTCATGTTCTACAATATTCATGTAACATACCCCATACCCCAGAGTGCAGCATAAGGTGGGTTAGCTGGAGCAGACGGGATGTAAAGTGAAATATGCGCCTTAAGAACAGCCGATAAGCATTTGGTCTTGTCGTCCTGATTTCGAGCTTCTCTTCTCCTCTCCTCCCTCCCTCCCTCCCTCCATCACTCCATCTGCTGGCATCAGATGGTCCCTCTCCTCTGACCTCCTTCCTAACCTCAGCTGTGTCGGACTGTCTGTGCTTTTGTGGGTGCACATGAACACACTCGTGCTCTTGCAGAAAAATAAATACAGCTAATTTTTGCACAATGTACTTGTAGTACTCTCGGATCAGTCATCAACGAACTGAAATTATGTAATATTTTTGGTTATTTTTACACATTTCTTCAATCTTTTGTGATATAGCTTTGGCTGATGATTCTAAAAACATAAAAGGTATATGGCGTAAACACAGTTCTCTATGGGCAAAAGGACACATTTTGAGGTGGTGGGTTGTGATGCTTTCCGAAAATAAAAGGTTTAAAGAAGAAGTAAGGACATTTATTCATATAAAAACTAAATTGTGGCCCTGGATTACATGTAACATTGTGTTTATCTAGAAGCCAATAGCATTTTGATGCACAATTTAGAATTTGTGTGCCTACTCGAGCTATTTTAAGTTGGCCAATTCTAACATATTCCTAGTTGTACTAATTGGTAAGTGAGTTCAAATTAGTTGTTTTTTTTTGGAACAAACTAGGATGAATTAAGTGTTAATCTTTAAATGGAAAGGTTTGACTAAACCATTAGGAAATCTGGAAAGCGAATGATTGTGCCTCAAAGGTCTAGGAAAGAAGGTAATATGGACTATTAAACTAGTTATTTTTTCCAGTAATATATACTTAATATTTTGTCTGTGGTTCATAACATTCCTTGTTGACAATAAAAGGTCTAAAGATTTGATTGTGGGGGTTTGTTTTCTATTTTAGGAGTTTTTATTGTAATTCTTTTAATATGTAGATGCAGCTCTCTGGTTTATATGCATTAACAGTGTCTATGCGAGCTAGGTGCAGTTGTATGCATGGCACCATTATGAAAACGTATTTCCCTCATTTATGCTGCCTGTGTTATCTGTGTATAGCAGGGCCAGATTTCCAGAGGCTCAGTGAATGAATAGCTCGAGAAAAATGTGAATTACTTGTCATAAAAAAAACTTCTTTTATGCAGCATACAGTTCATTTAACTGCAAAAAAATATTTAAAAAAAATCACATAATCTTTAGCTGTCATTGAAAAATACACTACATGCCTGTAGACAAGTAAACTATATACACAAGAATGACAGTTTTTCAGCAAAGCTAAACTGCTTTGTTAACAGTTTTATTTGTGTAAAAAATAATAATATAAGAGCAATAGAGAGACATTTATGTTTTCTTCCCCCCCCCCCCCAAGATGCCGTGCTACTTCCGACACACAGCAAAAATATCAACAAAGCAACCACAATGACACAAAACAACCTCTACACTATGCCCCCATTGGATTCAAAGTTCAACTCTGAGGCAGTGCCAAGCACAACTAATGAGAGAGTCAGTAAAACAGCAAAATAAAACAAACAGCTGCCATATTTTTCCCAAAGGCTTCGTCTTACTTTGACTCTGGCTGTGCTTGCATGTCAGGAGGGCAAGACAAAAGGCATCCTTGACCTTTTTTTTGTAAAGTAGAGTGGAGGCTGCAGGTGGGACAGACAGGAAGATCAACAAACACAAGTGGTTGATAGTGAGGAGTGAAGTCACAATCACAGCAGGGTGTAAGGAGCAACCCTTCGGAGGGTCACGCACTACAATGTCCCCGCCTGGAGTGCACTGTGGAAGGAAAAGCAGCAGAGGAGTCGTGTGCAGCTGTGTGTGTGTTATTTTTGCACCCTCTATTTGGCACTACAGCATGTACATCTGACTTACCTATCAGCAACCAGGTGTGTGCCTTTATAAGATACACAAGCACATGATCAGGTCTGCACCCTGACAAACCAAAAGGAGAGAAAACTCTGGGAATAGCAATGACCCATGAGTCTATGGCGTACACTCTTTGAAAATCGACCTGACATATTGAAGACAGGCGCACAGTGGGGTTTAAATTCAGTGGTAAAGTGAGTGAGGTGAAAGGAAGTGGAGGGCATGAGTGGAGGATGTTCTTTTACAGTGATAACCAGGCAATGGGCTGTTGCAGTGTAGTTGCTATATTTAGTATTAAGTATGCTGACATTTGCATTAAAGCGAGGATGAGCAATCTGTAGCGTATAGAAAGCTCTAGAGAGCTGGTTTAAATCTTGGATGCTTTTTATTCGTATTTGTTTGAATTTTTTGACATGGTGTCCCATGAATGTTATAAGCATGCATTCAAAGCATAATTTAAAGCCATTTTTTGTAGTACTGAAAGAGCAAAACTAAATCTCAAAACAAAGTTTAAAGCCATGAAAAAATATATAAAAATTAGGGCTGTCAAGTTAACGCGTTAATAACGCACATTTTTTTTAACGCCACTAATTATTTTAATGTGCGATTAACACATGTGTATTTGTCCTCGGCCCGCCCCGTAGCTTCAGAGCCCAAAGGCTTGACGTTGTTGTTGTTAGTTAGATGGTGTTTTAAACAGCAAGCCAAGCACACAGAGATGCTGACCGGCAGACCACGCTTGAAAGTTTGCCGGGGAGACGACTGGGCAACAACAGCGATAGCTAAATGGGTGGCTACAGCTTAACATTGTGGAGGACGAGGGGCTGCGTTAGATCATTCGGATCGCATCCAATGTGTCGACTGCACATCACAGCGCATTATTTTGACCCACAGTGGGAACTTCAGTCTCATGCTTTGACTGAAGATGAAGACAGAGGAGCGGAATTTCACCGACAACTGTAAACAGGCTTTTCTGTTTGAGCAACTGGCTCAGCGCAAAGAAGTAGGCATGCGCACCTCCGCCAAAAAAAGAGCACCGGGTCATTTGAAAAAAGGCGCATTTGCGTACCAACATTGAGAGAGAGAGAGAGAGAGAGAGAGAGAGAGAGAGAGAGAGAGAGAGAGAGAGAGAGAGAGAGAGAGAGAGAGAGAGAGAGAGAGAGAGAGAGAGAGAAAAATATTTGCGAGTTGCATATGAACTCAGGGGCCGGCCCGTAGCACTGGCGTTATAGATGTTCGCCTAGGGCGCCAGATCTGGGGAGGCCCCAGATCTGGGGAGGCGCCAGATCTGGGGAGGCGCTGCGCTGGCAGTTCTGGATAAATGTATTATCTTTTCAATTTACACACGGCATCTATTGCACGTCTGTCCGTCCTGGGAGAGGGATCCCTCCTCTGTTGCTCTCCCTGAGGTTTCTCCCATTTTTCCCTTTAAACTGTGGGTTTTCTCTGGAAGTTTTTCCTTGTACGATGTGAGGGTCTAAGGACAGAGGGTGTCGTATTGTCATACTGATATTCTGTACACACTGTGAAGTCCACTGAGACAAATGTAACATTTGTGATATTGGGCTATAAATAAATATTGATTGATTGATTGATGGGAGGGAACTTTCTTTTTTTTGACCGTTGGTGCTCATCCTAATGTTCGGCCTTGATGTAACAATATTCATAATTAAGTAAATGTAACACCCTTTTCACCCCGGTTACATGTTTCATTTGCCCTGTACGATGGGCGCTGTAAGTGATGAAAATGGGGGATGTTGGCTTATCTGGCGCCCGCAGCTCAGAGCCAAAGTGTGAGTGAGCGTGGGAGAGAGGGAGGGTGCACCGGTACCGGCGCTGTTATTAGAATCTGGTGCTAGCTGCTCTAACGGATATAAGAAGAAGATGTTTCTACAATAATGTGGAGGGAGAGTCCTCTCCAGTCAGACTGAGAGGCTGATAACCTCAGCTCAGTGAGGTAAAGGACTCTGAGTGTTTAGATAGTTCACTTTAGTCTAAGTTATCTCAGTGGGTCTCAAACGGTTTGGTCACAATTTATGTAAACACATATTTCCAAGGCACTCCTTTCTAATTATTGGGATAAAACAGGTTTGAAATCATTTCAATGTATACTATAGGACAGTAACCAAAAATATCCTTTAAAACTGGAGATAACAAAAATGCATAAATAAATAAATGTTAAGGTAAAATAAGATATGAATGAACAACAACAATAAAATAAGTTACATTCATTTTTTTATTGGCTATGGTAGGTTATTGGTTATGTTCACATACTTATTTGATTACATCCACTTGTCTAAGATGACAACAGAGACTTTCGACCCAAACCCAGCTGTTGACTTGTGGATGCAAGCAGCTAATCACAGACTCAACCAGAGAGAAAGAAGTAGGCCTACATCATCAGCTACCATGTCTGACAGAGAGGAAGACAGTGAGGAGAACAGTCAGGAGGGTAGTGATGACAGCTTGTAGGATTACTGGTCGTGCTAATGTTGTCTTGTGTTCACCTCTGCATGTGTGTTCTGTGTTCACCTCTGCACGTGTGTTCAGTGCCGTGTGTCTGGCAAATAAAGTCAAGACCCCCTCAAAAGTTACGGTTTATTTCATTTTAAGGATGAGCACCAAGCAACATCTCCAGGTGCTCCTTTGAGAACCAGGGCAAAAAAGTTATGTGCACCCCTCTCTATAACATGTTTTCTTTCAGGCTTTTGGAAGGAAAACGTACAAAATACACATTTAAGTGTTTATTTGACTATAGTTTGTATATTTGCGTCTGTAGATTTCTCCTAAATTCACCAAAAGTTAGCATTCTAACGTAACATAAAGTACCGCGACCGCTGTGTGCACCATGTCAACAGAGATATCGTTGGAAAGCTCCATCTCTCCTGCATAATCTCATCGGA